ATTTGATGTCAACTCTCCAACTGGAGCATTTAATCCACAAGCCGATTCTGATTGGAGTAGGGAAGGAAACCAAAAAATTACAATGATTATGGAAAAAGGTTGTTGCGCTTTATTTTTCAACAGTTTTTTTGCTTTTTTTCTCTGAACAGAGTTAATGCACGAAATCGATTCCGGGGACCTCGCGTCTGACCACGAGGTTGAAATGTTTCCAAAAAGATCCGACGTAAATGTCCCTCAGCACCGATACCCCCACTGTCTCGTCTGGTGTCCCCTGCCAATCATCAGGTAATCCATTGTCTCTATTAATATAAGTATGCAGTTGGATCTTTCCTCCGATTGGTCACGTAGGAATAGCCGACTCCAAAGGCGTAATCTATGACTTTGCAGGGCCTTACTATATCGGGGTATGTTGAATATGCTGTTGCCTTTATGGATTATTCCTTCGAATCCTAGGAGGATAGTATGGCTTTTGGTTGGACGACCAAGTACTACCAAATTGACCTCGGTCTGATAGGTGATGCAGATACGTGGGATCGCGGTGTGTGGGAGGCAAACGCCGAATACAAGCACAGAGTGGTGAGTTTTACTGTTAAAAATATTACCACTTATGTTTTGTAAGTAGGCTAGTTTATTTCATTGCTTATTTTGCCTTATTTCAGCACAATCTCTGTTGTGACAACTGCCATAGCCATGTTGCTCGCGCCTTCAACTCTATGCACTATAAGGGCAAATCAAACTGGAACATGTACAGTGTCGGATGGTTAATTTTTATATACGGCAGATACACGGGGTAAGTGAAGCCTCATGTCCTCTTAACAAATTATCCTAGTTGCACGTCCACGTTTGACTTTAATTTTAACTTGTTAACCACCCTTCTCTCGCTCTAAAGAGTATGCTTCCTTTAAAAACTGAAAGTAACAAGCACGGAAGCTTTCAACTACAGTACGCGCCAGAGTTCGTGCAACACGCTGACATATGTGAAGGATTGATACTCTTTCGCTAATCGGCAAGTTATTTCAGTCATGATAAGATGCGGACTTTCTAACGAGCTTCCTTCTGGCCGCTAACAAAACGTATGTACTGTAAAACGTAACTACTTAAATAGTATACGTTTTTATCATTGATTTTGACTGCCTTTATAAGTTCAGATATATTGTATGGAAAACATGCACGAAAAAAATTATTTCTTGTACTCGTTTGGTAGCATATTACGCCTTCTTGAAATTTTATACTTAAAGAAAGTGTATCTTTTGGTTTTAGAAAAATTTATAATTATGAGCTTTT